CCCATTTTGCAGGTAAGCAACAAACAAACAACCCCAATATTGTTTAAACGACGAAAAGCCTCCGTCTCGTTTCTAAAATCGCCGATTTCACCAGGTACTTTCTTCCTAGATCATTCCCAAATCTCCAGACTTTGTCTGGATTTCGAGTTTTGTATTCTGTTGAATCTTTTGGTTCACAATTCCATGGAAATGAGGTGTGCTATGGTATGGATTTCAGCGCCTGGTGTATGTTTGATTCGATTGCTTTCTTGAGCTGCCCATGAATCGGTATAAAAATCGAATGTTTTCCGATGTTTTATGTTTTGTTTTTGCCTCTAATTCCTAGAACTAGAGTAAAATAACAAAAATAAGAGCACAGTATGGGAATTTTGGAACCTAGCCAGACTCTCATGGTTGAGCCTTCAATTTGTGCTAAATTTTGAGAGAGAAATACAAAGATCATTTAGGTTAGTGTATGTTTTCCTTTGCACTTTTTCTTCTTTGCAAATTTTGTAAAGATTTCACATAGTTAATATGTTAATTTTTTTTCCTAGGCTTTGGAATTTTGAGTTTTTTCTCCTTTGTTTCGAATGCTATTAACTGGTCTGATTTGGTTCTGATTATTGTGATAACATGTTCAGCAGATGCACCTTTCTTTGCTAAAATCAATAGTTATGGAGTGGATATAACTAACAATGCAAGATCAACAATAGGTTCTTTTAAAGATATGTGTTGAGAATTTTAAAAATTACAATCTAACACCCATAGAAGCAGAAAACATAAAGAATTTAAAATAATAATTTAATGTGATTTGATTGATATATCTCTTTTTAGATTTACATCTTTTTAGATTTACATCTATATGAGAGGGAAGAATGAATTTATTATTAAAAAACACAATAATCTAAAAAATTTTTCACTCAATAAATTTTTAAAGATTTTAACTTCAATGTATAAAAACTATTAAATTATTCTTAATATTTTCTTTTAATCTTCACAAAAATTATCTCATAATTTCTCTTCTTTTTTCTCCCAAAAGCACTCACTTCGCTCTTCTCAATTTCTCTTGCATGCTAGCTTCGCTTTGCATAAGTATTTATAGTGAGAGAACCAACCACCTGTGCACCTTTTCCTTTGCCTGAGTATATGAGGTCATCATGCAATTTTGCACGATTTCAACCAAGGCAATTCCTAGCTCACAATTAACTGGGTTGGTGAGGAGATTTTACATGGAAAGCCAATGTGATCACATGGAATTGGGTCATTTTGTCAACAATAGTTCGTAGATTGCTTCAAGTTTTTGGGTGTAGTTATCATCATAAGTCATAATATTAAATACACATAAATTTTAAAAATACTAGTTACGTTGAAAATTTTTTCCCCACCTAGGAATTAATTATGTAGGATTAGTTCCCTTCACACAACAGAACATCAAAGCAAAATAACTGGTCTTTTTGTATCTTTTGCTAATTAAAGCTAAGTATAATCTGGGTAACACCCAAGGACAGAGCCAGAAAATAATTTTAAGGGAGCGAAGTGCTATTTGAAATGTGCATGCTAAAAATGAATTTTTTTGACTTGTAATTTATTAATAAGATTAAAACTTAAATATATAAGAATTAAAATTTTAGAGACTTTAAATATAGAAAAACTTGTTAAAATTTATATGTATTTAAATTTTAATCTGAAACATAACTTTTACTATAAAATATTACTTAATATGATCTAAATAGGAATATTATATGTTTTAAAGAATTGATAATACCAATTTGAAGTCAATTTTATTTTGTTACTTGATACAAATAATTATTAATTATACATATATTAAAATGACAATATGTCAAATAAATAAAAATATTTTATTAAATTTATTTTACTTGTCAAGTGATTAGTAATTTATCATACAATTTATCAAAAAAGTAGGAGTTAAAACATATCATTTTATTTTTTTCAAAAAGGGTTTTTTTTATTATTTTAAAAGCATCGGACCTATTTAATTTTTTTTCAAAAGTCTAGGGGGGCGAGCGCCCCTCCTTGCATCCCCCTGGTTCCGTCCCTGGTAACACCGTCCATTGCTTCTGTGATAAGAAGCATTTCTTCAGCTGGCGAAGCACTGCCTTCAACAGGTCAATCTCGAGTTTACCTCGCCCAATGCAGCAACCATTCACGCCGTTTCCTCTCCCACGCGGCTCATCTTTGCTTCGTTTTCATCCTCTTCAGAGTCTTCTTGTGAACAAAATTGATGAAATTAACCATATATCATAAATAGAAATTCTACAAATAGGTTGTATGCATAATTGCATATATTATTACCTTGTGTGGTGTATGGCGGGGTATAGGGGGCAAACCTGAATCGCCATTTGCAATTTGTGGGGCCCACCTCGAACCTCAATTTCAATTTGTAGGACCGCCTCGAACCTTGGGGGGCAGAAAATTTTGGTGTGATCACACGGGGAAATTAGTAGAGAAGAGATGCATTGAAACAGCAACTACATGACCAAGCAATGATGAGTACAGTGGGGAGAGAGTAACCATCGTTTGAAGTTATGTAAGTTATTCTGTATGCTATTTTGCTTGTGAGAATGTCATATTTCTAGTGCTTAACTTGTAAGGGTTAAAGTATCTTTATATTTTTTTTAATTTATTTCTGTAATTGATTGATAAAAGAAATATATCAGGTCGATATCAAGTTTCTTAAATTCATTTTCAATTCCCTTGTTACACAGAAATATATGCCAACATGGACCTTCTCCCTGCATATGATATCACATAGACCAAAGGAGAAATTGTAATGGAGCGAACAAGGGAGACCCGTAATGGAAGATTGAGGCGCAGCAGCGCAAGCCTAAGGTAACTGCTTCTATTTTCTCAATAAATCCTATCTATTTCATTTTTTAACATATGCCTACATAAATTTAAATCAAAACTTAACTATTTATATTTTCTTAAAAAAGTTTTATAATTTTAACTTATTTTTATAATTTGATCAGAATAACCAATATACCAATCAAACAGGCCCTGTATCTCACATGGTAATCTCTCCGTAGGGCCGAAGGCAACTTCTGGGATCTGCATCCGATGCCTAATCAATTGGCTTCTATTAAAAAAAGGATATATTGCTTCTCTACTTTTCACTTGCTTCTCCTTTTTCTTTTCTTCTGTTCTTTACATATATATATATTTAATGAATCAAAAATATATTAATTTGGTATATAAGGAGTATTCCAATCTTACACGGTATATAATTTTACAATAAAGAGTTATCTGACAAACAGAACCCTCAGACCTTATCTTCAAAGAGCATCTCACCTCACAATACTAGAGAAATTACAAGTTTTAATAGTGTGTGAGCTGCAACCAGACATCAGGCTAATTACTTCTAACGCATGCACATGGCTGGGAATAAACCAATCATGAGAAAAGCAAAGCTATCCCTCCCCTTTTCCCACGTATCCAAGCAAACGATTTCTCTGGATCTTTTCAAAAACAGGCCCCTCATGCCACCTATATATTTCTTTCCTTTCCATTTCCCCCTTTTCTTCTGTCTCCTCTTTTATTCACAATTTCATTTCCTTTTCTTTTCCCTTCTTGTTTTCCTTTCTTTTCCGTTTCTATTTTCCTTTGTTCCACTGCTTTATATAGTTTGATCGTTTCTTTTACTTTTTCTAGTTTTACTCCAACTTTTCAAATCTAGTCTTTCTCCTTCCTTTTGGTGTTGGTTGATTATCTTGGGTGCACGCCAGGGCATTGCGGATACTATTGCTAATCTCTCTTAAATGCAGATTAAAAAGTGTGTCCAGTAATGGAACGTCTGGCCAAATGAACTTGTGAATAGTAACAACTATACATTATCATCTTAATAGCCACAATCACAATCCACTGTTCCCTCTCCGCCGCTCCTTAGTAAAGCATCCCTACCCCTCACTAATTGTCGAGGGTAATCCAAAAGTCAAAAGATCAGATTACTTATCTTTCATTTTTCCTTTTTTTTTTTTTTTTTCTGGTATAAATTACTTTCTTTCTTCTCTCTCAACTTCTCCTTCTTTGCCAATCGACCAATATCACCACCTCTCAACAACGCTGCAACACAACCTTCACCCAGACTTCCCCTTTACAAAAAGCACCCTGAAAAACATAGAGTAGCGATGACCAATCAAAAGAAAAAATAAAGAAGAAATAAAAAACAGAAGGAACCGGAGGAGATAAGCTCTTGGGAAAGGAAGCGAAATTGAAAAGTGCAATTATCGGGCATTGAAAGGGAGTCCTGGAAGTTGATCAGGAGTTGTGTAATGGCGTGAACTCTCCGCGAGCAGACGGGGACGGGTCCTCTGTCAGTAGTGTCCGCTCGGATCCGCCAGGGATATATGGAGCTACTATAGGACAAGGCGCAAGGCAGGAGCCATAGAAATTAAACAACATCATCAAAACCTTCCAGTTACAACGAACAAGAAGAATCCATAGTGATGAAAGGGTATGCCAAGGTGGGTCGACCCGATGATTGACAACGGCAACGCACATGATCATCTTCACTGAGCTTTGCATTCCTCCGGACCTGAAGCCCAAGTCGCTTTGGCTTGCAACTTACTGTTTGTTGGAGGAGTTTTCCCTAGTTAGCGGGTGCACCAAGATATCTAGTGGGCAGTAGATCTTGATCGTTCAAAACATTATTTCTATGCGCCTAATGTACCTTATT